CCCGCCCCCCCGCTTCGCGGTCCCCCCCCCCCCCCCCCCGCCTCCATACTGCCTCTTCATCCGCCCTCACCTCCATCGACGGCGCTGAAGAAAAGGGGTACGATAAGCCGCCTCCCCTAGATGAGTCAGTGGCAGCGCATCTCTGCCCGCCCACAGCCATCGGCTAGAGAGCAAAAGCCGCTCACCCATCTAAGCCGTGTAGGACTACTTCAGCTCTCGCTGGACGCGCCTACACCTCAGCTGGACAGGCAGCCGCGGCGCTTCATTCTATAGCGGTCCTTCAGGTCTTCCAGGCCAAAATCCTCGCATCCGCCGAGTCTGGCCGGGACCCCGCTACCCTCAGGGATCTGAGGAGCGCAACGGACCTGGCTCTACGCGCCACCAAGACCACTGCCCAGGCGATTGGGAGATCGATGGCCAGCCTTGTGGTGCTCGAGCGCCATTTATGGTTGACGCTGACGGAGATGAAGGACGCGAATAAGATCCCCTTCCTCGATGCTCCTGTCTCCCCCAAGAGCCTTTTTGGCCCAGCGGTCGAAGGGTTTGCTGAACGCTTCACGAAGGCACAGAAATCGTCCCAGGCTATGCGACATTTCCTGCCTAAGCGCTCCAGCTCCAGCTCCGCTGCCGTCTCAGCTCGCCCAAAATCTGTGCCGACTCAGCAGCCTGTTTCAAAAAGAGAGCAAACTTCCTCTTCCATCACTCGTACGTGTTCTGCCCCCATGCGGCCAGTCCACCCGAGTTAATTCAACCCCTCGTCAAGCAGGCCGAGGCCTGGCAGGCCATCCCCGAGGTGTCGGAATGGGTTATGGGCATAATAAAGCGAGGATATTCACTCCAATTCGCTCGAAGACCCCCGCGCTTCAGCGGCGTGGTCCCCATCTCCGTGCAGAGCAAGGACGCCCATGTCCTGCGCTCGGAGGTGATGAATTTGCTGGCAAAAGGAGCTGTGGAAAGGGTTCCTCCAGCCCAGAGCGAGTCAGGCCTTTACAGCCGTTACTTCCTCGTCCCCAAAAGAGATGGTTGCCTCCGGCCCATCCTCGATCTCAGACACCTGAATCGCGCCCTCATAAGGAGGTCGTTCAGGATGATTACACTGAAACAGATCCTCGTGCAAATTCGCTCGAGAGACTGGTTCTTTTCCCTGTACCTGAAGAATGCATACTTTCACATCCAGATAGCCCCTCGTCACCTCGACGACTGGCTCATTCTGGCCCAGTCGGAGGCAGAATTAATATCTCACAGGACCCTCCTCCTCAGCCACCTGGAGTGCCTGGGACTCAGGGTCAATTTTGCCAAAAGCTCATTGCTTCCCAGCCAACGAATCTCGTTCCTGGGAACAATCTTCGACTCAGCTCAAATGAAAGCTGTAGTCACGCCAGAACGAGCTCTGGCTATACGGAGGCTGGCGACCTCCTTCAAGATCGGTACCGCTTGCCCGCTCAAAGCGTTTCAAAGGATGCTGGGCCTCATGGCAGCAGCATCTCCAGTGTTACAGTTGGGTCTGCTGCGTATGCGCCCCCTTCAGCGCTGGTTGAAACCACGGGTTCCGTCCCATGCGTGGCATCACGGACGCCTGCATATCAGGGTGAGTCAGGCCTGTGTATCGGCCCTGACCCCCTGGAAGAACTCCCGTTGGATGGAACAGGGCGTGGCCATGGGGATGGTTCACAGAAGGACAGTTGTCACGACAGATGCCTCCAACTCAGGTTGGGGGGCGCTGTGCGAGGGCATACCGACCTTAAGCCAGTGGTCGATGGCGGAAAAAGGCTTCCAAATCAACTGCCTGGAAATGTTAGCAGTATGTCGAGCCTGTCAGTTCTTCCTGCCAGTCCTGAAAGGGCACCATGTGCTAATCCGATCGGACAACATGTTGATTGTGTCCTACATAAATCGCCAGGGAGACCTCTCTTCAAAGCGCCTCTTCATGCTAGTGGAGCGCTTCTTAGAGTGGGCTCAACCCAACCTGCGCTCGCTAAAGGCAGCGCATATACCGGGCAAATTGAACCG